ATCTCTTCAGCCCTCTGACTAATACTTTTATTAACTCCACACCTTCTCCTAATTTCCACAATCCGAATTTTCTGCATAATATTTACACCACACATTGTCCTTAGACAGTAAATCTCCACTGCCTCCAACCGCCTCCTCGCTGCTGCATTCACAACCAAAGCTTCACACCCATATAAGTGTGTTGGTACTACTATACTTTCATATATTCCCTTCTTTGCCTCCATAGATAACGTTTTTTGTCTCCAAATATACCTCAACGCACCACTCACCTTATTTCCCTCATCAATTCTATGATTATCCTCATCCTTCATAAATCTATCCGCCAACACGTCAACTCCCAAATATCTGAAAACATTCACTTCTTGGATACTCCTCTTCCCCAACTTGATATCCAATTTTTCTTAATCTAAATCATTTGATACCCTCATCACCTTACTCTTTTCTATGTTCACTTTTAACTTTCTACCTTTACACACTCCCAAACTCATCCACTAACCTTTGCAATTTTTCTTTAGAATCTCCCATGAGCACAGTATCATCAGCAAAAAGCAACTGTGTCAATTCCCATTTTGTATTTGTTTTCCCATAATTTAACCACGCCTCTCCCAAACACCCTAGCATTTACTTCTTTTACAACCCCATCTATAAAATATTAAACAACCATGGTGACATTACACATCCCTGTCTAAGATCTACTTTTACTGGGAAGTAGTCTCCCTCTCTTCTACACACCCTAACCTGAGCCTCACTATCCTCATAAAAAATCTTTACAGCATTTAGTAACTTACCACCTATTCCATTTTACTTGCAACATCTGCCACATTGCTCCCTATCCACTATCATATGCCTTTCTAAATCCATAAATGCAATAAAAACTTCCCTACCTTTATCTAAATACTGTTCACATATATGCCTCAATGTAAACACTTGATCTACACATCCCCTACTCACTCTGAAACCTCCTTGCTCATCTGCAATCCTACATTCTGTCTTACCTCTAATTCTTTCAATTATAACCCTACCGTACACTTTTCCTGGTATATTCAGTAAACTTATTCCTCTATAATTTTTACAATCTCTTTTGTCCCCCTTCCCTTTATATAAAGGGACTATACATGCTCACTGCCAATCCCTTGGTACCTTCCCCTCTTTCATACATTTATTAAACAAAAATACCAACCACTCCAACACTATATTCCCCCCTGCTTTTAACATTTCTGTCATGATCCCATCAGTTCCAGCTGCTTTACCCCCTTTCATTCTATGTAATGCCTCACGCACCTCCCCCACACTCACATCCTGTTCTTCTTCACTACTAAAAGATGGTATACCTCCCTGGCCAGTGCATGAAATCACCGCTTCCCTTTCTTCGTCGACATTTAAAAGTTCCTCAAAATATTCTCGCCATCTACCCAAAACCTCCATCTCCCCATCTTTTAACTCCCCTACTCTGTTTTTAACTGACAAATCCATTCGTTCCCTAGGCTTTCTTAACTTGTTTAACTCGCTCGAAAATTTTTTCTTATTTTCATTAAAATTCCTTGACAGTGCCTCTCCCACCCTATCATCTGCTCTCCTTTTGCACTCTCTCACCACTCTCTTCACCTTTCTTTTACTCTCCATATACTCTGCTCTTCTTATAACACTTCTGCTTTTTTAAAAAACCTCTCATAAGCTACCTTTTTCTCTTTTATCACACCTTTACTTCATCATTCAACCAATCACTCCTCTTTCCTCCTGCCCCCACCCTCCTATAACCACAAACTTCTGCCCCACATTCTAATACTGCATTTTTAAAACTATTCCAACCCTCTTCAACCCCCCCACTACTCATCTTTGCACTAGCCCACCTTTCTGCCAATAGTCGCTTATATCTCACCCGAACTTCCTTCTCCCTTAGTTTATACACTTTCACCTCCCTCTTACTTGTTGTTGCCACCTTCCTCTTTTCCCATCTACCTCTTACTCTAACTGTAGCTACAACTAAATAATGATCCGATATATCAGTTGCCCCTCTATAAACATGTACATCCTGGAGCCTACCCAACAACCTTTTATCCACCAATACATAATCTAATAAACTACTTTCATTACGTGCTACATCATACCTTGTATATTTATTTATCCTCTTTTTCATAAAATATGTATTACTTATTACCAAATCTCTTTCTACACATAGCTCAATTAAAGGCTCACCATTTACATTTACCCCTGGCACCCCAAATTTACCTACTACTCCCTGCTGTGATGAATGGTTTGAAAAACCGACAAGTTGAAGATTGAGACACTTATGCAGCATATGGGAATCTTTATTCAGGAAACGTTTCGCCACACAGTGGCTTCATCAGTCCAATACAAAGAGGAAGGCGTAAGGAGAGGAGGAGAATGAGGTAATCAGTCCCTCAACCTGGAATCGATGTGTTCAGTCCATCCTGCTTCACCTCACCTCACTACAGTAAATAAGCCACGTCTACGGCCCTATGCAGTACATTCTACAAGATTGATGGACTGAACACATCGACTCCAGGTTGAGGGACTGATTACCTCATTCTCCTCCTCTCATTACACCTTCCTCTTTGTATTGGACTGATGAAGCCACTGTGTGGCGAAACGTTTCCTGAATAAAGATTCCCATATGCTGCATAAGTGTCTCAATCTTCAACTTGTCGGTTTTTCAAACCATTCATCACAACTGTCAGACACTGCAGCATCATGGCATCTTGTTACAAAGAATTCTTCAACACTTGTTCAACCTTTGGACGAAGACCTACTTCGACTAGTGGATGGTACCACTATGACCCCGCCTCCGCCTGCTTCACCTCACCTCACTACAGTATATAAGCCACGTCTACGGCCCTATGCAGTACATTCTACAAGATTGATGGACTGAACACATCGACTCCAGGTTGAGGGACTGATTACCTCATTCTCCTCCTCTCCTTACGCCTTCCTCTTTGTATTGGACTGATGAAGCCACTATGTGGCGAAACGTTTCCTGAATAAAGATTCCCATATGCTGCATAAGTGTCTCAATCTTCTACTACTCCCTCCGTAACATTTTTACCCACTTTAGCATTGAAATCCCCAACCACCATTACTCTCACACTTGATTCAAAACTCCCCACGCATTCACTCAACATTTTCCAAAATCTCTCTCTCTCCTCTACACTTCTCTCTTCTCCAGGTGCATACACGCTTATTATAACCCACTTTTCACATCCAATCTTTATTTTACTCCACATATTCCTTGAATTAATACATTTATAGTCCCTCTTTTCCTGCCATAGCTTATCCTTCAACATTATTGCTACTCCTTCTTTAGCTCTAACTCTATTTGAAACCCCTGACCTAATCCCATTTATTCCTCTCCACTGAAACTCTCCCACCCCCTTCACCTTTGTTTCACTTAAAGCCAGGACATCCAGCTTCTTCTCATTCATAACATCCACAATCATCTCTTTCTTATCATCTGCACAACATCCACGCACATTCAGACTTCCCACTGACAATTTTCTTCTTCTTATTCTTTTTAGTAATCTTTACAGGAAAAGGGGTTACTAGCCCATTGTTCCCGGCATTTTAGTTGACTTTTACAACACACATGGCTTACGGAGGAAAGATTCTTATTCCACTTCCCCATGGATATAAAAGGAAAAGTAATAAGACCAAGAACTATTAAGATAAAATCAAAGAAAACTCAGACATATGTCATTTTTGTAACACACCAGCTGTCTCCTACCAAGGCAGGGTGACCTAAACAAAGAAACACTTTCGCAAACATTCACTCTATCACTGTCTTATCTGAGGCATGCTGATACTACATGTCAGATGCCTCTCCAAACTGCAAATACTTCCACCCTTCCTTCAGAGTGCAAGTACTGTACTTCCCACCTCCAGGACTCAAGTCCAGCTAACCAGTTTCCATGAATCTCTTCACAAAATGTTATCTTGCTCACACTCCAACAGTTCATCAAGTCCCAAAGACCATTTTCCTCCATTCACTCCTACCTAACATGGTCACATACGCCTGGCTGTCCAAGGCTCTCACACACAAAACCCCCTTTACCCCATCCCTCAAATCTTTCCTAGGAAAACCCCTACCTCACCTTCCCTCCACTGCAAATTCATACACCCTCCAAGTCATCCTATTTTGCTCCAACCTCTCTAAATGTCCAAACCACCTCAACAAAACCTTCAACATTCTGGATAATGCTTTTAATAACACCACATCTCTTAATCTCCAAGCAATGAATTCTCTGCATAATATTTACACCACACGTCAACTATTCCTTAGATAGCTGTCTAATGAAAAGTGAGGTGAAGGCCAGAGTCATGAGACTTGAGCTGCTGCATAAGCGGGGTCGCATGCTGGCATGTGACACAGGTATGGATGACTGTGGAAGTACGAGTTAATCTCTGTCCCCAAGCCACAAGTTGTGTGCTCGTCACTACAAATCACACGTGCTTTATTATTAGAGAAAGTCCAATGATAAGAGTTACAAAGTGGCTTCCACCTTAAAAGTATGAGTTACAAAGAAAGGCTGCACACACTGAAAGTGCCTGTGCTGGCTGCTAGGAGAAATGAAAGACATGATAAATAAATTTTAAGTTGAATACAAAAGGATACACCGCTTAAATTTTCTGCAGGTAGGACAAAGAGAACAAAATTGTGAAATGAGAAAAAAAGATTATAGAGCAAGCAATGGAATGGTATAAAAGGAACAGTGTTAAGTGTTTTAACCAGTGAAAACAAATGAACAGTGTTAAGTTCTTTAACCAGTGAAAACAAATTTCACTTTGAGATCAAACAGTGAATAAAAAGAGAACACAGAACACAGTTTTGCTGCTGTAACTACATAGAGTAATGATACAGTACACAGTACTTGAATCTGAAGTAACATTTTAGTAACACTTCATTTCAAATTTCAAATTACTGTTGCTACTACATATTAGGAATACTTTACTTTGTTAGATGTATACTAAAAAACTGAATAAATTACCTTCTTTTTCCTAACTAAAGTGTTGTCATCGTAGATGTCATCATATATTACAGGAATTTCAGATACCACCTGGTACTCTCTTAGACGATCCTCCAGGGTTGCAATCTGAGCTTGTAAGTGTTCCATCAATGCTGTGCTGGCTGCACTTTTAGCTTTGTTATCGGCAAGTTCCTCTGTTGAATACAAACCAAAGAATCATGTCAAAAACTTTTTGTATACCAGTACTTAACATGTGAATAATAAACACCTATCAAAACCTGGAGATAAAGAGACAAAAGCGAGTTCCTCATGCAACAGCAATCAAGTTTAAGTAAAGCTACTCATAAAAAGTATTCTCCATTTGTTAAGGCCATAATGTCTGCTGATACTTATAAAGTTTTAATGCCCCAGAGTACAAATAAAGCCAGAATAAAAACTAATACTCATGCAGGTGATACATTAACAGAGACCAGATTTTAAATTACAGTTGTACCTACATTCTTTTGGTTCAAAAAACAAATTCTTCCGTTTGTGGGATCCAATAACCCCAAGATCCCAAAAACACAACTGGCCTCTCTTCTTCTTTCAACACATCAGCCGTATCCCACCGACGCAGGGTGGCCCAAAAAAACAAGTCACTCCTTTTAAATCTAGTTATATATACAGGAAAAGAGGTTACTAGCCCCTTGCTCCCAACATTTTAGCCACCTCTTACGAGACGCATGACTTACGGAGGAAGAATTCTATTCCACATCCCCATGGAGATAAGATGAAATAAACCAAAACAAGAACTAGTATGAAAATAGAAGAAAACACAGAGGGGTGTGTATATATATGCTTGTACATGCAAGTGTAGTGTGACCTAAGTGTAAGTAGAGGTAGCAAGACTTACCTGAAATCTTGCACGTCTATGAAACAGAAAAAAGACACCAGCAATCCTACCATAATGTAAAACGATTACAGGCTTCCATTTTCCACTCACTTGGCAGGACAGTGGTACCTCCCTGGGCTGTTGCTGTCTACCAACCTACTACCTATAAACTGGCCTCTCACTCACACAAATATAGCCTTTCAGTGCAGCAAAAGATATGCCAGTGAGTACTCTGCTTTCTTACCAGTCTTATAATCTAAATGGCAATCAGTGTCATGCAGTCATTAATACTCACAGCAACAAGTGCCTGGTGTTATTCACCCTTGACATGCCTGCAGTTCACGTGTTCCTGAACCGAAGTTACTTGATAATTTCAAGGGTTACCATTATGACCAAGTCCCAAACAGTCTCCTGTTGACAGCCTGATCAACCTGGACATTGGTGATAGCACATGCAGTCTAAGGTAACACACCACAACCCAGTGCTCAAGAACTTTCAAAAAGAACAACTTCCTGGTAAAGCATTAGGAAACCTAGCGACCCACTCGTAATTCCCCCTAAATATGAAGGAGGGGTATTAAAAAATTTTGTTTCTCTTATCTCCTTAAAACTTACTGAGTCACCTCAGTGTAATCAATGCACACCTACTTTTTACCTGGGTAATTTTGCCACCATCTATCAAGCCCATCTTGCATTCATAGGATGATTTTTAATGTGCAGATACCAACAAGTCTCTCCAGGAATTTACCTCCAATTTTATTATGATTTAACTTCTCAAATAATGAATAATCAAAGAAAAAGCTACACTGACAAGGGTCATACAGTCTGAGTGGGGCATAAAATAGTGCTGGGGCTATAAACAGCTAGGTGGAGAGGGATCAGAGTGAGGGAGAAAAATAGGTGGAAAGGATGCTAAGGGCTATGTGCAAAGTTTTGTATAATAAAGCAGTTGCTGACAGAAAGTCAAAAAGAGAATTTTAAGTCAAAGTCCAGGGCGTCTGCAAGAAGGAAAGATTAAGGTAAGAGTGGTAATGGCGGGCGAAACGTTGGAGGTAAATCCAACCGAGCCCGCTGGTAACTGGGCAATCTACAAGAAAGTAAGAACCCGAAATAGAGACCCAACAAACCTCACAAAGAGGAATAATGTGTTGATCCATAAGATACCCATGGGTAAGGCGAGTATGGCCAATGTGGAGATGGGAGAGCTCACTCTCCTGAGTACGGCAATGGTGGTAAGAAGATGGCCACAAACCTAAAAGCGGTTTAATAGCGAGAAATGTGTTATGGTGCATGCCCCGACCACCGTTGTTGCCAACGGTGGTCGGGCAGAGAAGACAGGCAGAGATGACTGGAAAATAATCACTGAACGGAATACCTCTATAGGAAACCGGAAGCTCATGTACCGTTGACCGCACAGCAGCATTTGCTCATTCATTGCCCTGCATATCAATGTGTCCAAGGACCCAACAGAAAATGACGCCTTTGGTTTTCCTAGCCACATGGCACAACCATAGTTGAATATGAAGAACTAATGGATGAGGGGAATCAAATTGTAAATAGCTTGTAAGGCACTGAGGGAATCTGAAATGATCACAAATGTCGGAGACATATATGTAATACAGAGAAGTGTTATAAGGATGGCATACAACTCAGCAGTACAAATGCTAGCCGAGTCTAACAAATGTCCTCATGACACATCGTCAGAGAACACTGCCGCAAACCCAACACCATCATAAGATTTAGAACCATCTGTATAAACAGTAACAGCATGAGCACGCTATCGGAAGTGATCAAGAAAAAGAGAACGAGAAAAGCCGTAGGTATGAGAAACTTTGGCGCAGGGCATTAGGGGAGACAGGCACGAACTGTCGGAACCTTCCCAAGGGTAAGGGAAAAGGCAATGGCTAAATGAACTATACAAGGGTGGCAATGGAGAGAAGATCGTAGTGAGTGAAGACAAAGAGAAAACGGTCGGAGTAAGCAGGGGCATCAAAACAATAATGGCTTTTTACTAATGTCTGAGACCAACCTCTATGTAATGGAACATGAAGGTCATGAGAGTGGACAAAGTATCGGAGGCAATGAGCATCACGACAATCAGCTATGGAAGGGACATTCACTTCAGCATAGAGCTTTCAACAGGGGATGCACAAAAGGCACCAAGGTATAAACCTAGAACTTGATGATGAAGGGGATCTAACTTAGAGTGGTAGAAGCTGCAGAATAGACTTGGTCTCCATAATCCAGCTTGGACAATACTAGGGTGGAATGCAAACAGAGGAGAATCCGGCAATCTTCACTCTATGAACAATGCAGAAGAATTTTCAGGAGATTCAGCCGACCATGGCAAGCAGTCTTCAAAGAGGAAATGTGCAGTTTCCACGTCAACTGGCGATTTTAAAGAAGGCCAAAGAACTTGACCGATCACCATTCTGGAATACACGAGCCGTGTAAATACAATGGAATATATGAAACAAGAGGACGTCTAGTGAAGGTAATAAAATGGGTTTTTGTACTAGAAAATTTAAATCCATGTGAAGTGGCCCAGTGGGAAACCCAGTCAATCACATCCTGAGGGAGGCAGCTACCCAGGTGACAGTCCAGCGCATTCCTGAGCTATAGCGAAGTCATTCTCATTAAGTGATGACCAAACATGCGATGGAAGAATGGAATGTAGGGCATTTATAGCCAAGAGAAAAAGGGTAGTGCTAAGGACAACTTTGTGGGACAACCCTCGGCTTGAACAAAGTCCTGAGGAATAGCCGAGGCGCCAACCAGACCCAAAATGGTCTGTCAGAATAAAAAAGCAGTAAGGAAAGTTGGCAGATTACCGTGGAGGCCTAAAGAGTGGGCTTGGGCTAAAATTTTATACAACCTCCAAGTGGTGTCATATGCTTTCTCAAGATAAAAGACCAAGACTTCTAGGATGGAGTGTTTTGTTACCAAAAGGCCATTTCGCACATAACATATGTAAGAGGAGCAAAGGGTCCAAAGTAGAGTGGCACATGCAAGCCATATTGTGAGGAGAAAGACCTATTGAGATCCCTCCAATACCATTTCAGATTTCCATCATCAATTGTCCCCATCACCTGCAACTACACTGCTCAGAGAGGTAATCAAGTAAAGTGAGAGTATAAGCCCTGAGGTGCCTGGTTGCGAAACAGTAAGACAAGGCAGATTTCCATTTTGAGGGAGAACCCTTCAACATCCAAATAGGATTGAAAAGATGCAAAAGGACTGTACCGGGCAGTAGAATGCAGGTGTTTGAGCATACTGATATGAATATCATCAGGCCCAGCTGCCGATGACTGGCAAGTGGAAAATCGTAGACTCTAGCCTAGGAGAGTGAAAGTACTTATACGGTTCCATTCCCATTGAGGAAGAACCCTAGGACAACCACTCCTTAGGTATGACTGGATGCAAGAAAAGATGATAAAGGTGAAGCCTTGGAGACACAGACAAGAAGGTTCTCAGTTCCTGTGGCGAAATTCCAAAAGGTTCCGCAACACTAACACCAGCAACCCGCAAAACGGGAGCTGGGTCCAGGGTGTACTTGCCACACAACTTCCGTACCGTCTTCCAAACTGCACACATAGGGGAAGACAAGGTAATGGTGGACACGTAGTCTTGCCAACAAGTGTGTTTAGTGTCATGTATGACGCGACAAGCAACCACTCCTTGGTAGACTTGGATGCAAGAAATGAGAGATAAAGGTGAAGCCCTTGGGAGACACAGACAAGAAGGTTAAAATCCAGAAGACAATCTGAGGTCCAATTATAACGATAATGGCCCCACACACCACGTTTCAAACGCATTGCACAGGCACACGCAGGAGACCCCCAAGGCACGCATGTCTGAGAATGCTTGCCTGAGGTTTGAGGAGCAGAATGTGACACCGCAGTCGAAACTAAGGTCGAAAACTGGTGCATTAATTCACCAATAGACGACGAAAGACAGTCCCCACAAAAAGTGGTAAGATTAGAGTATAAGTCCCAATTTGCTCATGCAAACTGCCAACGAGGGCTACAAGGCAGTCGGGAATACGTAGTACAAGTAAGAAGAATAGGAAAGTGATCACTGTCATGTAAATCTGGGAGAATAAACCAAGTATAATCAAGTGCAACTGACAAGGAACAGATAGAAAGATCAATGCAAGAGGTCTGGGGGGAGGGTGGGGGGGGGAGGAGACAAAATGGGTAGGAAACTTTGTATTTACAACATGAAGAAGAATGAGAAGTGAGAAGAGTCTCCAACTGATCACCACGAGTTAACATGGGACCCTCCCTACAGATGATGGTGAGTGTTGAAATCATTTAACAACAAG